AGAAGAAGAAGAAGAAGAAGAAGAAGAAGAAGAAGAAGAAGAAGAACAACAACAACAACAACAACAACAACAACAACAACAACAACAACAATAACAACAACAACAACAACTGGGTGAAAATTGTGCTGTGGATTTTTCCTTTTCCATGCCCCCCCTTGAGATGCATGATCAGTGGTTGCAGATCAATTCTGCAATGAGTGCAAAATCTAGAATGGAGAAGAAAGCCTGCTAGAAACATCTAGGTGCTAAGATGTTGTTAGCAGTGTAATGATCGCCCTGTGTGGGTGTGAAAGCTGGACAGTAAAGAACATTGACAGGAAAAAAAAATGATTCGTTTGAAATACCGTGCTGGAGGAGAGCTTTGTGGATAGCCTGGACTGCCAGAAAGACAAACAAGTGGGTCCTAGATCAAAACAAGCTTGAACTATCTCCAGGGCCAAAAGTGGGTCCTAGATCAAACGAAGCCTGAACTATCTCCGAAGGCAACAATGTTGCAGGTGAAGCTGTCTGTCTTCCTTTGACCACATCCCGAGAAGCCAGGATTCTCTGGGAAACAACAATAATGCTGGGAAAGGTGGAAGGGAGCAGGAAAAGAGGGAAGACCAAATAAGAGATCTGTTGACTTCCGAAAGGAAGCTGCAGGCTGGAGTCTGCAAGAGCTGAGCAAGGCAGTTGAGGACAAGAAATTTTGGCGATCGTTCAGTCCTAGGATCAACATAATTCACAGATAACGTGATGGCACATAACAATAACAAGGAGCAATGTACTGATTAGGCAGGGCTTTGCTGAGAAAGAAAAACACACGGATAGGCTGTCAGGCTGACTATCTGGTTATTTGGAGAGAAACATCTGCTCAAGTTATTTGAGACATGCAAATAAAATGACCGTCAAAGGACCTTATGCCCCTAAAGATACTCACCTAAAGATATGAAGGTGGCAAGAAAGCAGGTGAGCGGTAGGCTCCTCATCATTCCAGATGTCATCTATAAATTGAGACCAGAGATTCGTTGCAAACTGTTACAGAACACAAGTACACCAGTGACGCAGCTGGGAAGCGACCTCAAATCCACTCCCTACGAAAGGGTGGGGTCATCAAAACAACCCCAGTAGGTCTGGGTTTGTCACATTCAGCTATCCCACAGGAAAATCTCCACTTCTCCAGTACAGTGTTGTGGTGTTTTGTTTTGTTTTTTTCAGAGGAAGGGGGGGTCTGAAAGAGGCTGGAAAAGGGGGAGGCAAACATCTCATACAGCTTAAAGGGGCTTCGGTCAATTAAGAGCTGGAACATGGCTTCAGGCACAAGACAGCCGAGTTGAAAGATGTTTTAACAAGTTGGCATTATGTAATCCAATCAGCCTGCTTCAAATCTAGAGTGCAAATAATCCTCATGAAATGTCTCTCTTTTTTTTTCAAATTTCTAAATTTTGTCTTGAGAGGACCCCTTGTTAAGATTTTGCCTTTGCATCACAGAGATTTCCAAGATTCCTGTGAAAATAAGATCTCAGACTCATTCCACCACATACACACCCGGCCAGCCACACACACACACACATCTAGTTCTGCACAGGAAACAATCAAATTTGTTGCATTCCAACCCACTCCTCCCCCTCTTCCCCCCCAGTAACTTCTGTTCAGGAAACAGTTGGCTCAGGAACTGTACTAATCCTCGGCAGCTTGCTTTATTCTGCCCTTCTCTGCTGAAACTTGCCCAGGAAATGTGCCATTCTGTGGAGGAATTGTCAATCAATCAAAAACCTTTGTTGGCATATACAAAACATCTAGTCAAAAACAACATTCAATAAAACTTGTTTGCAACTTTCTGGAACCATGTCAAAGTTTGTTCAGACTCCATGTAGCTTTACTATTTATGCCGCAGGACATACCGTACTCTCCACCCTATCTTATGTACAGTACCTTATAATAATAATGAACATCTCATTGTTGTAATTAGCCCAGTGATTACATCTGAAGATCCTGGCTCACGGAGGGAGTGCTGATTCAAACTGTTGTGTGTTTTGTTGATAATAATGAACCATTTTATTGTTGTAATTCGCCCAGTGTTTACATCTGAAGATCCTGGCTCATGGAGGGAGTGCTGATTCAAACTGTTCTGTGTTTTGTTATTGTAGTTATTGTTTTGGCATGTTCACTATGTGTGCTAAGAAGTATGCTACTTTCTCCACCCTGTCTTGCACCCTGTTGTTTAACAGAAAACACGTTCTGTCCATATCTGACCACCCTCTTATTTTAAGCAGTTAGATTAGATTAAGCATCCTTCAATCTCAAAAAACTATGGTTAGCAATACTGAGCCCAGATATTGAGCACGGGGTTCAGAATAGCGAGGGCAATATAAACACATGTGTACCAGCGATTCAATTCCTCCCAATTCACAAGAGCAGTTCCTCGCTCTGAAATCTGCCAGATAATACTGCTGAAGGCATTACATTAAATCTGACCAGGGAATGAGTGTAGGCATCCTTCAGTCTCGAGAGACTATGGTAACGTACTCTGAGCAGAGGTCTTGGAACAGCGTCTAGTGTGGCTGAGGAGGCCAATTTGAGAGGGACCATCCCTTCCACACTGAAGACGAATATAATCTGCCCCCTGTCCAGCTCCCTGATTTTAATGGTTTCGGGACTACCTCTTTGCCTCGGCCTGCTGGACAAGGGCCTCTTCAAATTGGGAGAGGCTGTGATGCACTGCCTGCCTCCAGGCTGAATGCTCGGATGTCAAGGTTTA